GTCAGGTGTGTCTTTCATATGTGCTCTGAACATTTCATGATTGACAATGTTGGGCTCATTGGAAAGGTCGTACATAATAGATATTGGCCAATAGCTCACATATGCCATATGTCTATGAAGAATATTAGAGTACTGTAATTACACCTTCTACTTTTCATTTATTGTTTACCTTCATTGAAATGTTTAGTTTAATTCTAAAAAAATTGGTTATGTTTGGCATACAACTGATATTGTGCATACATTTGCTGTCCCTATGTTTTTCATTGAGCCTCCGATTATCACGGTTGATTACATACGGTGTGAAATAAGTTCAGCTGACATACATACTGTACGTATATAGCTTACGATTTGTCTTCATGTATGCTTATATCTGCTCTTCTTTCCATGGTACTTTTAATATTTGTCACGACTATGTCCTCAAGTACGGTACTTTGTATCCTCACTCTGATACACTGCTTTTGATCACTGGGTGATGCGTTCTGGGGAAAGATAATGACGATGCTGATTTGAAGCTTTCGTGACTGCAGGAATCGCAGCGCAAGCGACCGTCTTCACCTGAAGACGGTCGCTTGTGTTGCGATCAATACGTCGTGATCTATTTTGTTTTACCTACGTGACTTTACCGAAAGAACCAAAGAGTATCATGACGATGATGAATACAGGAGAACTCCTCATCCACTGTAATGTGGGTGAGCAATATGTACGTTGAACTTCTTTCGCACCATACGTAGCCAACCGTGCTAATAGTGAATCGGTAGGCCAACAACTTTTTAAATTTTGGCAAATGTTTATTTAACAACTGAATTTAACCTTTGTATTTTACTTTTTAGGAAGTCAGAATGGTTTCTGTGGAAAGTCCCTCTGTGGATGTGACAAATTTGATGCAAGCTGCTTTGTAAGATGCCCATAACATTTTATGAACAAGTTATATAGATCATCTTCTTTGGTTCTTTCGGTAAAGTCACGTAGAATGAGAATAAAATAATAAATTGATAAAATAAAATAACACAATAATATTATAACACAATAATATTATTATAACACAATAGAACCAAAGAAGATGAATCATTGCAGTCACGAAAGCTTTAAATCGAAAGTTATATAGATTAAGAAAAATATGCTAATTAAAAGCAGCTGCTAAATGAAATGTCTTTACAATGACGTATAACTCTCATCACATTTTACATATCTCGTAATCATTTGATAGTTGACCAGAGCTATAATTAGGAAGTACTAATTCAATTGTTTTGAATGGTCATTTTACATAATGTATTAACGACGATGCCAATAAATGCTCAGGTTATAAAATAATATTGCAAGATTACATTACAATTAATCATAGCATGTGGACAAATACTACACCATATGATACAATGAGCTCATGTATTTTGTGAATTTGATGTGTACACACAATTGTGCAAATGTGTGCTGCTTGTTTATGTCAAAATGCTTTTGTGATACAATCAACGTTTTATTCCTTGCCACACCAATGAAATGGGAATAGAGTCACGGATGTAACGCATGGTTAAATAGAGAGAACGGCAAATGGGAGAGAGAAGAGGAAGAATGAGAAATAAGAGGAAAATGATGGACAAGGAACAGAGAAACCGAACCAAATGGTCAGGACATATGAGGAACAAGAGCAAGAGGCTACATACAGTGAGGAAAAAAAGTATTTGATCCCCTGCTGATTTGTACGTTTTCCCACTGACAAAGAAATGATCAGTCTATAATTTTAATGGTAGGTTTATTTGAACAGTGAGAGACAGAATAACAACAAAATCCAGAAAAACGCATGTCAAAAATGTTATAAATTGATTTGCATTTTAATGAGGGAAATAAGTATTTGACCCCACTGCAAAACATGACTTAGTACTTGGTGGCAAAACCCTTGTTGGCAATCACAAAGGTCAGGCGTTTCTTGTAGTTGGCCACCAGGTTTGCACACATCTCAGGAGGGATTTTGTCCCACTCCTCTTTGCAGATCTTCTCCAAGTCATTAAGGTTTCGAGGCTCACGTTTGGCAACGCGAACCTTCAGTTCCCTCCACAGATTGTCTATGGGATTAAGGTCTGGAGACTGGCTAGGCCACTCCAGGACCTTAATGTGCGTCTTCTTGAGCCACTCCTTTGTTGCCTTGGCCGTGTGTTTTGGGTCATTGTCATGCTGGAATACCCATCCACGACCCATTTTCAATGCCCTGGCTGAGGGAAGGAGCTTCTCACCCAGGATTTGACAGTACATGGCCCCATTCATCGTCCCTTTGATGCGGTGAAGTTGTCCTGTCCCCTTAGCAGAAAAACACCCCTAAAGCATAATGTTTCCACCTCCATGTTTGACGGTGGGGATGGTGTTCTTGGGGTCATAGGCAGCATTCCTCCTCCTCCAAACATGGCAAGTTGAGTTGATCCAAAGAGCTCCATTTTGGTCTCATCTGACCACAACACTTTCACCCAGTTGTCCTCTGAATCATTCAGATGTTCATTGGCAAACTTCAGACGGGCATGTATATGTGCTTTCTTGAGCAGGAGGACCTTGCAGGCGCTGCAGGATTTCAGCCCTTCACGGCGTAGTGTGTTACCAATTGTCTTCTTGGTGACTATGGTCCCAGCTGCCTTGAGATCATTGACAAGATCCTCCCGTGTAGTTCTGGGCTGATTCCTCACCGTTCTCATGATCATTGCAACTCCACGAGGTGAGATCTTGCATGGAGCCCCAGGCCGAGGGAGATTGACAGTTCTTTTGTGTTTCTTCCATTTGCGAATAATCGCACCAACTGTTGTCACCTTCTCACCAAGCTGTTTGGCCAGCCTTGTGTAGGTCTACAATCTTGTCTCTGACATCCTTGTAGAGCTCTTTGGTCTTGGCCATGGTGGAGAGTTTGGAATCTGATTGATTGATTGCTTATGTGGACAGGTGTCTTTTATACAGGTAACAAGCTGAGATTAGGAGCACTCCCTTTAAGAGTGTGCTCCTAATCTCAGCTTGTTACCTGTATAATAGACACCTGGGAGCCAGAAATCTTTCTGATTGAGAGGGGGTCAAATACTTATAACCCTCATTAAAATGCAAATCAATTTATAACATTTTTGACATGCGTTTTTCTGGATTTTTTCGTTGTTCTGTCTCTCACTGTTCAAATAAACCTACCATTAAAATTATAGACTGATCATTTCTTTGTCAGTGGGCAAACGTACAAAATTAGCAGGGGATCAAATACTTTTTTCCCTCACTGTAAGGACGTTGGCACTGCTGTACGGAGAGGCGTTTAACACGTTGGCTTTCGTGACGAATATCAACAATAATACAGGTTTTAAATAGAGGGGTAGGAGGACGAAACAGGTGGACTTCTCCACAAATCTGGCTGTCGCCTGATGAAGTTAGTTGTAATTACTGGCGAAACGTCATACTCAGATTAAAAATGTTGTTGCTTGGCTCTCCAACATACCGGTGTGCTGTACTAGTAACGAATTGGCACGTTCTGTTTACGTGACAAACCTTACTAATTGGCTGTGTCGGGTGGTGGCGGATTTAACGACACATTTAGATATGCACGCAATCTAACCCAAAAAAAAACTGTATGGATGATACTGGTCGCAAAAGCCAAAAGCAATGTTGGGTCAAAATCATTCAAAAGTAAAATATTAAAATAATTGCCCATCATCACTTTATTAACTTGCATTTATACAAGTATCAGTAATGTAGTGTCTGCAATGGAGTATTTTACTTATATTATTTGTTATCTCGTTATATTTTTAATTGGCTTCACAATAATAATAGAATAAACATGTGTACCACGCACAAATTTTGTTCACTCTCGGAGAGAGAGACTTTTGACTTTTTAAACCACTTTTATTGCCGCCAGCAGCAACAGCACTCTAGGCGATTCCGATATGAAATACACAGTCACCAGCAACACAAATGAAAACAAACGCTATAAATACACGCGCTTTAGCACCGCGCACAACACGAAAGAAAAGTCACGTAGTGATGGTGGTGGTGGTCATCGCGCACGCCACGGTGACGAGCGAGCGCTTCAGAAGGTGAACACGTGGAGGGTGCCGTCCACGCTGGTAAACAGGGCTTTTCCGGCTCCCCAGCGTTCGAAGAAGACGCGCTGCACATCACCGACACGTGTGTGTGGTACGTGGCGTGCTCCAGCCGGAGCCGCGCCTTAAGCAGGCCCCTGAACACTGGAAGCAGCCCAGAGCAGCCGTCAGTGTCACCTTGCAGCGTCTTTTGTCTCGTTCTGTACACCGCCATCTTCGCCTGAGCACAGGCGAAGTTGGCAAGGTCAAGGCGCTTGTTAGCCAGGTAAGGCAGATAAAGAGGCACAGGAAACCACATACAGCACTATATCAGTGGGTAGGCAAACAAAACTGGTGCCAACAATTGCCTACGCTCTGCGGTCCTATATTGTGATGTTTGGGACAACAATATAAAATTGAGTGTACATGAAATCGGTTTATGTTATGCGCATCGCAAAACAAGTTTTTGGGTTGTTGGTAGCGTCACGATGCGAGTCCGGTGACCAGTGGCGAGTGACATGAACCAGTCCTGATCACATCCTTCGCCAACCCACATTAACCATCATGGTGAAGTATGGTCAAACAAGCACAGAATCAAACGCATGCTAATGCTTTCGTCCAGAATTGGATTGATGAGTGGCTGTGTTGTTATATATGAACTGTATCACCAAAAAATAAAAAATACATCGTTTTAGGAATCTGTGAGCGACTTGTGTTTGTTATTCTTATATTTGTAGTCATGCCACTACAACGCTGTGCATGGTAGTGTTATTACGATGAAACGTTTAATCCTCAGATGCTTCACGAGGTTAGGCTGCGGTGCACATTAGGCAGTTACCTCAACGCACACGCAGTCGTGCAACGCACAGTAAAGAATTCGGTCAGTTCGGGTAAATCCCACCCCGTACAAAAGCTGCTTGTGAGCCAACGCAGTGAACGTCATCACTTCACGAGGCTACAAGGAAGTGGTTTTTTTCTCCTGCTTTATATATATTTAGGACAGAGTCATAAAAAAACAGTACAAGAAACGGACCGGAACAGACCTCACTTTGGAAAGCTTTTGGAGTGGCACATAACTGGGGAAAGGAATGGCACGCGTGCTTTTGGCAGTGGCTTTGACAATCGCAGGTACGTGAAATAGCGAAATAGGAGCTGCGATACTTTTAAAAGTTGCCCACACGTGAAAAGGTATTCCATTATGGTAAACGATCTACATTTGCGATGATAGCTGATTAGTCATAACCGGAGTGAAATGAGACTAGCATAAAGTCGGGTGTTTGATACTGTATTTGTGCAACACAATTGTAAACATAACTTTGAATAGTTATTTTTATTGAAGTCATTACCAATGTATTTCTTTTATTTAAAAGTGCCAGTCAGAGGCGGTTTAAAAGATTATAAAATATATCATCATTGACAAAATGTTTTGTTGATTATTCCAAAAAGATTATATGTTACATACTGTAGTATTATGCATTGTGTAAACTAACAGACTAATACAAAATCAATATGTATGATACAGGAATTCCAAGCAGGCATATATAACAAATAATAGGATGCAACTCCTTCATATATGGGTTTATCATCATCACCACGAGCCATAATCTATCTACTGCTGAATGAAAGCCTTCCAAAGCCATTGCTTCGTCGCATGGTCTGGCGAAGCAACAATCCACTGAACTCTCAATGTCTTTACTTATTCTCTCCTTTGGCTGCCACTCTTTTATTATTCTTGACCACTGCTTATAATCTATTCTAGTGGCATGTCAAGGCCAAGCCCACTCACTTTTTATACCACTCAATATAATATCTCTAACTTGTGCGTGTGTGTGTGTTTTGCAATACATACATTCCTCTTTCTGTCACTCAGAGTAATTCCAAGCACGCATCTGTCCAAGCTTCTTTGGGCACGTCACAGCTTTTGTTATATTTTCTTTGTCGACGTCTGTGTTTCTCATCCGTAAGTTAAAGAACAAAAATAAATAGAATAGCGGTGTGTTCGCTCAAGTTTTACTGAAAAATAAGCACCTCAATCACAAGGCTGATGCCTTAATCTGCTGTTCAGGTGATGAAAATGTCTTGAAGAATTACACACTCATCAGCCTTGTATCGCACATATAGATACAAATATAAACTGCTCACAAATGATCAATGGAGACAAAATAACGGAGAATTAGGAAGCCAACCAACCACACGAGCAAAACCGGTTCGGGAAATGCACATTTAAAATTACTCTTTGCCTAGATGGACGCGTTTGGACTGATATGCGCATCAGCGTGAAATACCGTTGCACACTATAAATTATATTATATAGGGATGTGTTTTGTGGTTGTGGTGCGCGTTCCTGAATGACTTCGTGTCCGATGTGCGGCGAAACGTTAGGCATCATGCGCGAATCGCGCGTGATCAAAATCCTATCGAATTGTACAAAGAGCTTTCCGCCTGCACATAACGAGAAGCCAAACAACCCCCTGATTATTCCATGCAGCAATGCGTAAACTAACGTCAGCCGAGACGCATACACCTGTTGACGAGCGCGTATTTTTTTATTTTTTTGCTCCAACAGTTCTTGTAGGTTGTGCAGATGGCCATGCTCACGCGAGGCACACACGGAGCTTGATAAACTTGGCGGAGCTCATCAAGTGTGTCACTGGGAAACACGCGTGCGACTACAATGCTTATGGAAACTGGTGTGGCATAGGAGGGAGTGGAACTCCGGTGGACGAAATTGACGGGTGAGAAAGACAACGTACGGAACATGTATGTGGCATACATGACGCACTTATTTATGGCCCACTCTAAACTATATTTTTTATTTTACCAGGTAAGGCCCACTGAGTTAGATAGTTATATTTCAGAAGCGACCTTGCTCAACGAATGACAGCTCATCAAAGTGGCTTATCACGTGGAATTGTATATTAGCCACATGCTCTAAACGCATGTTTATAAATGTCGAGGGGAAAAAAAAAAAAAACCGGGGGACCCGGAGAAAAATCCACGCGACCACGGGGAGACCATCCAAACTCCAAATATACAGCAGGCGTCAGAGTCAGGATCGAACCCACGACCTCCTGTATACCAGGCGTGGTAGTTAACATCTCGCCGCCGTGGCACCCACTCTTTCATGCAGGCCAGACGCCATGGAAGAAATGGGATGATCCACACCGTATAGCCCTTGTCAATGGCTTGCAATGTTACGGGCGATACAGAAATTGTCGTAATTGTCACCATTACCGCACCCCACGCGGCCTGATGATCGACTGGCCGTGTCGCGCCAATTAATACTGCAGGGTGGGTGGACAGAGGCAGTGAGATTTAAGAAACTTGTCCATTGTTGCAACAGGAGATCGATTGTTACACCGAGAGATCGAATCTGCAACCTTCAGTGTGCTAACCATTACACCATGGCAACATTCCAAACATGAAATAACCGCATACAATAGAAACTACGTGAGCATTATTAAGTACAGTAACTGCAGTAAAATATCACTATACTGTATGATAATTTTCGATTTAAAGCTTTCGTGACTGCAGGGATTCATATTCTTGGTTCTTTCGGTAAAGTCACGTATAAGGGAAATAATAAAATAATAAAAATAAAACAATAAAATAAAATTCTCACAACGTTTCGGCCACAACGCAAGGACGGCTGCTTGCGTTGTGGCCGAAACGTCGTGAGAATTTTATATTATTATGTTTTATTTTTATTATTTTCCTTCTACGTGACTTTACCGAAAGAACCAAGAATATGTATGAGAATTATTAAGTAGCTTCATGACACAGTATTATATACGCTATAATAATGCAATGGAGAGTGAACATTCCCATTTAACCTACATTTTTTGGAGAATTTTTTTCTAGGTAGATTGTCACTATATCCATATAGTCGTCACTTATTAAAATTCACAGGTCTTAATGCCAGTCTCAAAGAGAGTGCCAATGTGTTTATCTGAAGCCAATCTTATGCAATATAAATTTCAGCCCCTGGGCTTTAGAAACCCAATGAGCAAAATGCTCCAAAAATATAGACTGCTTTGCAATCAATCTAACGTCATGTTTTTTGGTTATATGATGTTGTTAATACACAAATTATGGAAAAGAAAAACATCTCTGTAAGACATTCAATATCCTTCATATAGCCATGTCATCATTGGGGTTGTTTTACCATGGTTGACCATGCTGGTTAGTGTGAGTTGGTGAATGTGGCTGGGATATCACAACGTTCATAGCGCAGTGCAATATCAGCCATACAACAGAGTATACGTCTGCTATTTTAGTAATTTAGTTTACTTGATTAACAAAAACATAATGTCACGCCAAATTGGCAGCTTTAATAATTGCAAAATTAATTAATGCAATTTGTTTTGCCGTGTAAATAGACAATTACATCCACTCTTCAAGCGGACCGTAATCCAATGCCAACAATGTCTCTCGCGATCCTGCCATTATAATGATGCACCCAGCACCGGCAAACAAACAAGTTTACTTGCTTCATCTCCACGGGGGGTGGTGGTGGGGGGTCAAGCGACGCATCTTGCCTGAGCTCACTAACTTTTGATTCGGTTGTTATTGTACCGTCGAGTTAAAGTACATTCGTGGGTCCCGTACTGCACCAGGAATTCAGGACACAGCCATGGGAAATATTTCTGAAATGCAGTTGTTTATATTGTTCTTGGTTTGTATCCACGCAGGTGCTGCCAGCGTCACGATTTGTGCTACGACAGACTCATAGCTAATGGCTGTTGGCCTAGGTGGAGTCCCTATAACTACACGTGCAAGGATTCCCTGGTCGACTGTGGTAAGCCACCCGAGAACCTTGGCATTCAACGCTGGGATTTTCCAGGCCCATAGCTATCTGTACTTTGTCACGACGTATTTTGCATTTACAGTTCTCCTTGCCAGTGGCGTCACTAGGGTTGGTGTCACCGCCCCCCCCCATGGACCTCCTCCCGTACCAGACCATATACAGAATCCTAAGTGATGTTTTTTGTACTGTTGTTACTCGTAAATCGTAATTACCGTATGTCACTGAATGTAATGGCAATAGTAGTGACATAAACAATTAGCAAAAAAATAAAATACACCTTTAAATTACAATATTTCCTTTAATTACTACTTCATTACTCTTTGGTTCTTTCGGTAAAGTCACGTAGGTATAAAATATAATAAATCACGACGTTTCGATCGCAACACAAGCGGTTGTCCTCAGGCGGAAAAAAATATAATCCAGCAATCCAGAAAGAGTATGGATTCCTGTAGTCACGAAAACTTCAAATCAAGATCACTACTTCATTCTCAAAAAAAGATATTGATATAGGTTCGCAAATACTAATTACCACAATATTGTAGCTAAAACACCAGGAAATTTGACAAAATCAGCGACTATAAAAACACGAGCAGCAACGAAAACAGCAGCGCGTGCTTGTGGCGCGTGCAGACGAAATCACGTGATTCGAAGCGTCACTGGAGTTGGGTAACAATGTCGGCTCTGACCGGAGCCCATTAGAAGGTTAAACAAGTAAATTAGCATAGAGTTTTAACCTTGTAGGTATATTTATACAGTACACGTAAGCTGGGCTTACGAAAAATGTTTTTGTTATAACTAATTACGGGGATATTTTTTAATATATATTTTTATGTATTATATAATATATGTAATATATAAAAATGCTGGTGAAACACTGCACAAAAATTGTAGATGGTGTGACCCGGTGCGGTCCGCACACCCCCGCACTCCCCTATTGACGCCACTGCTCCTTGCAGCGTGGCTATATTTATGTCGAGATCATATGACCACGTTGGGGGTTTCCAAGCAGAGTAGCCGTGCAATGAACGACTTCCTCATTCGACTGCTGGCTGCATTAGAGGGAGCTCTAGAGAGAGCCCCCCTATAGATGGTAATTTGGCCTACTCTTCTACGCTGGTCAGACTCGTTGGTAGAGTCACGTAGAATGGAGATAAAATAATACAAATAAAAACAATACAATTCTCACGACTGTCCGGAAGACAGTCCTGTTTCTTCACCAGAGGAATGCTACTTGTGTTGTGGCCGAAACGTCGTGAGAATTGTATTCTATTATTTTCATTATTTTATCTCCATTCTACGTGACTTTACCGAAAGAACCAAAGAAGACATCGTATTGTTGTTCTAGATGTAAAACTAATTTATTTTAACTACTTTTTGTATTTTGATTTAAAGCTTTCGTGACTGCAGTAAATCATATTCTTAGCTCTTTCGGTAAAGTCACGTTGAAGGGAAACTAAAATAATAAAATATATATAAAACAATAAAAATTCTCACGACGTTTCGACCGTTTGTGTTATGGTCGAAACGTCGTGAATTTTTTTTATTGTTTTATATATTTTATTATTTTATTGTTTACTTTGTGTATGTTTAGTTTTCTGTCCTTTCGCGCACCTCCGATTAGCACGGTTGGCTACGTAGGGTGTGAAATAAGTTCTCCATGCATACGTACATTATCTTGAAATTCGTGCCAATAAAGTGTGAAAGCGAACGCTACTTGATGTTAAATCAATGTTACTTTTTTGCGTGTATTTGTATCTTCATCTTCTAGGTATCGATGACGGAAGTTGCCAGGCGCAGATGTGTGCATGTGACAAGGAAGTGGTGGAGTGTTTCGCAAGGGGAACATATAATCCTGCGAACAAAAAGAAAAATTTGTTTTGCTAGACAAAGTACGGAATGGAGGGAAAATCCCAGCAAGAAGACTGGAAAAACCCAGCACAATGCCATCTTAAGTGAAACCCAACGCAGTGGCGATTTAAACTTTTTTTTTAATCAGGCTTGACTTTCTTTGCTTGAGATATTCTGTACGGTGAAACGCTGAGAAACAACGTTCCATTTGTCGCAACCAGTTAAACCTGAATCAGGAACATTAATGATTTAAAAAATACTTCTGCTGCAGATCTGCGTTGGTGTGATTGTTTTTGAGTTCCATTGATTCAAACTGAATATTATTTCACAATATGTTTTTTTGTTGAAAATCATGTAAGTGTTTTTACATTGTGAATGTTAATTGATAATAAGTACCATATCAACAGCTAAGTAAAAAAACATTTCGAAAACATCTAGGAAATAATTAGAATTGTTTAAGCTTATCCGTAATAGCACTGTAATTAAAAATCTGAACGATTTAGAATATGTCATTACGTCTGGTTATGGTTGCTAATCTCCCAAACACCGAATCCAATAACATCCCATCAAACAGACTCATACTACACACAACATTCAGTACAACCTCATTGCCTGTAATCAAGCACTGTGGAGGCGAGGATTGGTGAATCACGCAAATGTTGTAAACCTCCTTTCCTATATGGGCATGGAGGTGCCATACCCTGACTATGCCAGACGAAGGTGGTGCAGCAAACCGTCGACACATATCATCTGGTCCCTTCTCTGTGAGATACAGTGTTGCCCCCTTGCACATCTTCTTTCCTCTGGCTGCTACGGTTTCCTATCCACATGTAAACACTCGTTAACTTGCTGAACATATCTTTCTCGTTGGCGTCTGGCTGCTGCCTCCTTGCTTTTCTGTCTGTGGTTCCTCCTCGCACCTCTGGTCGAGAGTGAATGAATACAAAATTAATGTATTATTAGTATTACTGTTATATGCTTTAATAAAGGTGCTCAACATCAACTGTGAAAATATCCATCAGCAAGTAACATCACACCTAAACATGGCACAGATGCTGTCTCTGGTATTTAACGCCTCCCGAGCATGAGAACGAAGAGACTGCAAATGGTGTTGTACACTGGTGACCATCTCCATTGTGATTAGAAGTAGTTTGAGACTGGTTGGTTATTTCATGGCACGTAAAAAAATAGCACTCGTGGATACCAGCAGGTGTTAACTGGTCTTGCACGCATTTCGGTTCCCAAGTGATCAGAACATTTGCACCACATTGAAATCCATTCTACTTCTCCACATATAAATAACCATATTCCTTAGTCTTACAGCTTTTCAGACCACAGCCCTACAGTTTTATTGAGTGCCCTTGCCAATAACATCTGGTAACCCAACAGCATTTGTTTCATAAGCCTGGCTCTGCTGATGAGACCGAGAAGGTTTGATCTGGTCCATAGTTTGCTTAAACAAAATGCTGCTGTGTAATATTAGTCTAAAAATCCGCCATGGGCTGATGGACTACAGACGTACAGTATTTGTGTTTATATGTGGAGATAGTTTTGGTTTAATATGCTCTGAAGCACACACATGTAATTTTCATTTCTGCACAAAGTCCCATGGGTCTGGAACAGATCATTCACATGTTTGCACCACCTGAGGCACCATTTATAGGGATATTGTTATATTTTTCAATCGCATTGTAGGTAATATTGAAATGTTGTCGAGGACATTAGCAATATAAAATAATAGCGTCTTGGAAATTGCCACATCATATTTGGCACAAGGTGACTGAAGCTCAAATCAGGCCTCATCGTTTCCAAAGCTGGGCTGCAGCCTAGCGGGTAGGTGTTTGTCAAATTCAACGTTGGAACTAATTTGTGGATGGATTTGGCGTTAATTTGTTTCGACAAAGGAGATAGCGTGACTATAAATTGATCTGAAATCGAGAAGGGGAGACACTTATATGTCATGAAGAAGCGGATGTGTTGAATCGAACGGATGTTATTCTAGAGCGACAGTGCTGACACCTGGATTGGGAAAAAAACAATTACGAGCTGGCGTATTGATTGTGTTTCGGCATATTAAAGGTTGCCATGCTTTATGGTTGTATTCTAACAAAGGGATATTAAGGTGATTGGCTGATTAGGTTGCGTGAGCATGCTTTTTCATCTGTAATTGTGAACGTGTGAGCACGGGTTTTATTCGATTGGGTTGAGTGCGAATGCTTTTGAGAATTGAGAGACAAAGTGCACAACCTTAATTAGATGTAATGAAGCGCGCTTTCTCAGCCTGTAAATACGAAGCTGGGTAGATCAGTCGAGGAGGTAGTTTGTGGTCAGGAGCCACGGCAGACTGATTTGCAGGCAGAACTCGAGTGACAAGCGACTGCCGTCCAGGTGCAAGAGTCACCGAATTTTTGTACACATAGTTTATTTGACGTGGCTCTGTGACAAGACTGCTCTCGAGGACTAAGGTGAGTGAAAAAAAGACAATGGGGATGGCGTGTGGCTTTGACAGCTCTGCAACAGGAGAGCGTGGGTGATCAGCCACACCAGGAGGGGGTGATGTGGGCGGTTACACAAGGCTGGTGATGTGGGGTTCTGGCAGCAGGCCAGTACTGAGCAGAGGGGATTTTACTGCGGGAAAGTGACAAGTAATATATGCCATTCCCTCGCGTTTTTTGTTAACGATGTGCCTGGTGTATACAGATGGTGTGCAATAGCTGTCTGCCAGTTACGTAGCTTTATTTTTAGTCGTGCAAAATAAAAAAAAAGCCTTAACTGCTCCGTTGGGTCACCTTGGTTACATTGCTTTGGCATCTGTCCTTCCACAAATTTCTCCAGTGGGCGACAATAGGCAGAAGATGGTGCACGCCTCTGCATAGCAGCGAGATGTGACACCCTCCAGACTACCTGCATATGGAGCCAAAACTCCATTCCGTCTTCTCGTAAACAAAAATAAAAACACCCTGGTCCATCTGCCTCTTTGCTGTCCAGACCAATATCATCAAGCAGCCTCTGTTCACACACATATTCTGGACTGGTCTTTACTCCCTTTGGGGCTCTACCAGGTATGGGGGTTACATTAAACCAATAGTGCTGTGGTACCAGATCCAGCGGAATTTCTGTAAAAGTATACTATTGTCAATGATGCTCCTGGCTACTTGATGCAACCCCCCCCCCCACAAACATAGGTGCACGTGCTTCATAATTTAACATATCAGGTACCACATACAATTTCCCCAGCGGTTTTTTTTATAAAGCCACCTCGATCTGTAATACAGCGCCACCCCCTGTTTGTAGAATTGTAACATGGCATCTCACAGAATTGGAAAGACAATCTGTGATGGAGGGCGGCAAATGGCACTTGCATTTTAAATGAAAGCTACTGGAATTACAGTGATTTAGCCATTCCATAAGTTGTCTGAATAGCTAGAATTGGCTCCAATAATTATTTGACACTCCACCCAGATACTTGTGTTTATCAATACCTTCCTATTGGTGTCGTGTTCAAAGAAAACACATCTCTACGGAACTCTCGCAGAGCAATGGAAGTGGACCTTACAGAGCGACCTCTTGATATCGTTTCCAAGATACCTCTCATCCACACAACACTTTCCCCCCAGACCTACCATAGAGGATGGTTTGTCGCATGACTACAAAAAAATGTGTGTTTGTGTGTGTGTGTATATATATTTAGCTGGGAGAGCTGTGATTTAGGTAAATTAAATGTAATGATTTTTTTGTGTGCAGCGATTCGTGACTCAGACCATTAAATCACTTTATGTGAGAACCTGGCTTAATTAATGATGCTGTCAGGACATCAAACTTGTGACTCATCAGACCATCTTTTTACATTTAAGTCCTGTCTCAGCCTGTTGATACAAAATAAAATTTAAAAAAAAACGGGATCTACAAGCCAAGCCAATCAGTCGCAGGGCGTCTATGGCCCTTTGCCAGCAGGCCCCGCCACTTAACTGCCCCTTGTACCAGAGGCTCTGCCGAGTTAAACTCCATTCCCATAATTGTAACACCAGACAAATGGCATGCCAACCACCTTTAAAAAAAAAGAGATTCTACACTTATCTTAATTGAGGCCAATTGGTAGAAAGCTTTTTTTAACAATTTACTAAATAATTAGAATGGATCCGTGCACCAAATGAAACGAGTCTGTCTGGGACACTGGTTAAACCACACACTGATTATGTGTCTCTTAAAAAAAATGTTCAGCCATATTTTATTTCCGCCTTTCGAGAATTGTAGCCAAACAAGTCCATAAACAATACCGTAATTGTAGTCTGTATTTTGCATCCGATATGTTTAATCACATTAGTGTCACAACAGTTTTGCACAGTGGCTTTTGAGGCGTTTAAGTTTGGGTACTTTGCGTATTTTTGCCGTCCCTAATAAAAAAACGGTGATAATAAAAATGTTTGTGTATGTTCTCTCACTAAACAAACACAACATTTTAAGATATTTTCGGCAGCGTTTAGAAGTGCATCGGCAATGCATGTTTTGCTTTGGTATTTCAGCTGCTTTATATTCAGGACATGTGAGAGGTAAATTTTATTTGAATGCTCTTGGGAAGCTTAAACTGAAAGTGCAACATCCAAAGGCATCTGCATATAAGCGTTTAAACCGTGTATATGATCTGCAACGACGTGAATCAGAAAAAAAAGTTGACAATGAAACAAGAGCTAAAAAGTGTACACAAACGCATGGAGGTGCATGCATGGCTACATACGGTGCGAAATAAGTTCAACATGCATGCATACATAAAAGCTTTGAACAACAGAGAAATGGCAATCCGAAGAGGGTAATCGGAGGCATCCTACAGAGTGTTAAAAATTAGGTGGGCTTTGACAACACACATCGCCAGAAGGTATGATGGCCGGTGGTCACAACTAAGGGGCCGTCCATAAATGACGTCACGCACCTGGGGGGGCGGGGGTCAAACATTTGTGACGATGTGTGACGAGGGGAGGGGGGGTTTGAGAAATGTGACGTCACGTCAAAATGCGCAACTTTAAATAAATATAGACAACACGTTCTACTTAATCAAATCGACTTTTTAATAAATGTTTTCTCTTACAACATCAGAGTGCAGCGCCACATTAAATACACACTACAATGACAATGATTTAAAGCGATTTGAAGCATGTTTGATTTTTTTGGGGGGGGGGCAGAGCTTTGTGACGTCATATTTTAGGGGGGGGTCAAAAATCGTCCAAAATCGCGTGACGTCATTTATGGAAGGCCCCTAATGACAAGAGTTGAAGCCAACGGAGGAACGTGTCCCGGAGGATGGCCACTTCGGAGGTGACGCTATGAGATCAACTCTCGTGAGGTGGATTGTTGCATCGCGGGACTGTGGGGGAATGGCGATGCTTTGAGGATGGCCCCTGTTGAGAAGAGGATGCAGCCGTCGTGATTACGTTGAAGGCCGCTTGTGTTGTGGCCGAAACGTCGTGATTTTTGTTTATTTTTTTTGTTTACCTAGGTGACTTTGGCGAATAGAACCAAAGAGTACGTTGCAATAAGTCTGTACACGCAACTTCGCTCAACATTCACCCAGATGTCGTTGCACCTCATAAGCTAAGCAGAGTTGCTATTGTTATCTTAACGTAATTTATCTATTGTTTTAGATACGGTGAATTAACTTGATGAGAGGAGAGGGGGGGGGGGGCGAATCTGTGACGCGTGAATTCGGTGAAAGCGAAATTGACGGCAGTGAATGATGGTGAATGGATTGAATGAATGAATGAATGGGGAATGAGTGAGAGCCATCTAATGGGAGTATGAAGTGGGAACAGTAACGGCGGTGGTGGTGGTTATGGGGGGGAGACGAAGGGGTCGTGGGGTGAGCGAGCGGTAACGTTAAGTGAGTTTTGAGTGCGGAGCGAAGGTGACTGCTTAATTTGGAGGGGGAAGTTTGTTCCAGTGAAGAATGGGGGGGGGGGGGGGCGAGAGGTGAGAAAAAGACAGAAAGTGTGGATTGATCACGGTAATGACT